AATGTGATCTCTGTAGACAAACGGGATTAATTAGTACATAATGACCGTAATAACAATATAAGTAGCAGCAACTTTGGTGAATGAAGTCATCAACAGTATGACTCTAGTCTAAAATATCTTGCTGTTTCTTAGAATTCACAATCTTTTTTCACTTAAATATCTGCGATATTATTGTAAAGGTACAGTCAACGACAACTTGTCAAATAATCTTCATACGTGTTTCGTGGAATTCAAAGCCAGGGTAAATTGTGCCGCGGATTTCAGAAAATACGTAGAGAATATATAATGTCTTGAAATATAAGCTGTATTTTAGCGAGGGTGAAGTAAGGCAAACGGTTCTAGCAAGCAACTGTTGACACTTGGTCAGGAGCCATAATGCTGTGGTGTACAGTTTACATATCAAGACACTCATCGTGTATCCTATTTATTCCGCATTTCTGCAATAAATGTCACCGGAAAGAGAAAGAGGATACATCTAATTCGCTGAAACATCAGGTAACTGGTTAATTAAGTTTTGTTTTTAGATATAGATATCGATTAATAGATAATATTAATTGGATGGAGAAAACAGAAAGCAAACATTTAGCTTATGAATGCAAGCACTTGTTACCATGATCATAATGAAATCAGATGTCTTGTAATATCTTTTCAGATATATAAGGCCCATGCTACGAAAAAACATGTTACATGATTATAATTTTTTTTTACGTTGGAGATATGGAACCGGTAATGATGTCATAATCATTTAGATCCTGATCGATCCTAGGTTGATATGCAGTGTCATAATCTCCTTCTAATTTGTTTTTAATGCTGAAAGTAGTATCATACTCCGAATCGACGATGTCATTGTTGGAAGGTTTAGCCTTTTTGTCGAAAACGTCGTAATGGTTGTCACCGCCTGTAAAGGCAGCAGTCACGTGATCATAGTTACTGCAGTCACGTGTCTCTATGGACCAATCTTTTTTGTGGAGTTTGTGATACAAGGAATCGTCGTGATCGGATGGATGAAAAGACTCACCTACAGTGTGGTATTCATTTTCAGACGTGGCTTCAGCAGGCGCAGCGTTTGCACAATGCGGTGTTTGTATGCCTTCATTTTTCGGGTGTAAGGAACTAACTTCATCACGTGTAGGCGATCTTGCATGACTACTTACCTCCTTTGTTTTCGACTGTGGCGCCCTCCGTACGTAAAGATAAAGCAGAACTCCAGTTAAAATACAGAGCACGCTAATACCGGCAACGATTCCCCACATGTAGTTCGATGTTTCATAACCTGAGTTCGAGGACTCCTCAAGGAGTTCAGAAGTTTTCTCTGTACTCCTCTCCGTGGCTGTTGTCTGGTTTGCATTAAATTTTGTGATAGTTCTGTTTATAGAACCGGTTTGTATACATAGTGAACGCAATGAAGAATTACAGGAGGTTGGAGAAACCTTCCTAATCTTTCCATCTACGTTTAAAACTCCCGCTAGACATCTATTTTCCCGTAATGGACGTCGAAAGGTTGCAATCCAGTATTGCGTGCCATTTTCTACTGACGCACTTACATTTTTACTGTAGTTAGATAATGCCGTATAGCTCGTAAACCTGAATCCACTATTTTCACAGTTTACACCACTATCTAACCAAGGAGATTCTTTCGAAGTTTTAATCTTATCAGCTGAAAAACTTATACATAGTGCTTTTTTGTTTTCTGAACAATTATCATTAGTACTCATAACCCTGTCAGTTTTCAGTACAGATAGGCAATTTCCCTGTAGTTTTTCATCAAAATATGTATCACTGATAACAGCTGGTACATACATACACATTGCATCGGTATGTGATCCGACAAAACTTGAATTCATTGTCTTCACTGGTACTTTTTCAGGAGTCTTAGTTGTATTAGTACATACACACTCTTTCTGTGACAACCAAAAAGAAAATGACAGACAGAATTCGTAGCAATCTAGAAATGGATCAGACACATTAATCTGTTTTTTTTTCTCATTCCATTCGATGATTGAGGAGAGATACACCCGAGAAAGTCCATCCATTTGGTATACCTATTTCGCCATCCAACCCAAACCTGTTCCTCTGAGGTGACCTTCGTTACAACGTTGAGCTCATCAATAGATCTCCGATTGCCAGGTATAAGTGGAAGTTTACAGTCGACATCACCGTTCCAGGGAATCAGTGTTTTGTTATTTGTAGTTACATACACGTCAATAGGAAAAACTCCAGTCAGAACACACATGTAGAAAAACACAATGAAAAACCGTTCCATTTGAACTAATGGATTATTCCAAACGTAATATTTGTGTTTCTGTATCATTGATGTCAGAAAGCCAGCCTCAATGAAATCAAAGTCTATCCGACGTGATGGCGTTCTTCCGTTGAATGTCAATTATTCCATCGTAGGTTTTGGTCATTACTATCGTACGTTTCGGACTCGTTGAACAGTTTGTTTATAATTAATATAATTATATATCTCTGGGCTTAGATCCGTCAGGAATGGCGTTAACAGCTATACACATAGCGATACTTGCACTTTGTATTTGATTCTGTTCAAACTCCTTCTTCTGGGAAAGTGTGACCACATACACAATCCATGTATGTTAGAGTGAAATAGGAAGAGGTTGAGTGGTGTTTAAAACACGATAATATATCTATGTATGTTTATGGGTATTGTATTTGTGTCTGTTGAAGCTGGTGTATATACTTCCCTCATCCGTAAAATATCATTAGTGTGCTTAGAGTGTACATAGATTGTCCCAGCAAAAATACAGCCTGATGGAATGAAACCGGATCCACTTTTAAGAAAACTTTTAATCGAATTCATCGACAAGGATTGACATATATTTCATTTATGAACATATTCAATGATATATTCAACGCTTTTATTTATTTATCTATGTGCTTATCATAAAATAAATCCTTTTATTTTGAAGAGAATATATATGACTGTTCAAATATCGACTGTTCAAATATGTATGCATCAAATCGACGCCGAACAGTGTCTTGGGATCGAAATGGTGTTCGGGAGTTTAATTCCGTCATGACTGCTCATACTTTCACACAGCATAGCCGCAATTCTAAACAACGTGTTTCACTACAGTGGGTTTTCAAATATTAAATTCTCTTTGTGTATGACAACAGTCGAGCTTCGTTATATCGAAGTCAGTGGGACCTTTCGAAAACTTCGAGTTATCCAAGTATTCGGTTTAAATGAGACCGAATGATTGGTCAGGACAAAATAAATGCTTATGATTAATAGGGTGTCCGAGTTAAATGAGTTTGAGATAACGATGTTCGACTGTTTTCTGTTTTTTTCCCCCAATAAAGAAAAGGTCAACAACACGAAAAGCTATAAGGCAAAGAGCGACTTATGAGAGAGTGAAAAAAGAAACGTCGAGATAAATCTGTGTTAACTACATTTATCGACCGCGAACAGCCAGGATTATTTTGAGTGGGGATCTCCTATTTGCATATGATAGCTATCCTACTGAACAACTTACAAGAAGTCCGCCACATGCCGTCCATGGCAATTAGGGTCAAGTTTATTGCTCGTGGGCAAAACCACGTCAATATAGCCCAATCTATGTACTAACTTCCTGATAAAACAAAGACCGTAAAAGTAAGGGAGAGTAGAACCATACCCTTCGGATTCCCCTCTGAGTCTACGTAGACCAATAAATCATAAATCGTCAAGGTTAGGGAGAGTCGAACCATACCCTTCGGATTCCCCTCTGAGTCTACGTAGACCAATAAAACATAAATCGTCAAAGTTAGGGAGAGTCGAACCATACCCTTCGGATCCCCCTCTGAGTCTACGTAGACAAATAAAACATAAATCGTCAAGGTTAGGGAGAGTCGAACCATACCCTTCGGATCCCCCCCTGAGTCTACGTAGACCAATAAAACATAAATCGTCAAGGTAAGGGAGAGTCGAACCATACCCTTCGGATCCCCCCCTGAGTCTACGTAGACCAATAAAACATAAATCGTCAAAGTTAGGGAGAGTCGAACCATACCCTTCGGATCCCCCTCTGAGTCTACGTAGACAAATAAAACATAAATCGTCAAGGTTAGGGAGAGTCGAACCATACCCTTCGGATCCCCCCCTGAGTCTACGTAGACCAATAAAACATAAATCGTCAAGGTAAGGGAGAGTCGAACCAATCACACGAGACACGAGGACAAAACACGGAGACAATTGAAATACGATGGAAATAACATCAGATATATATAAATGAGAAAGAAATCTAGAGACGAAACCAAACCGAGACACCAAAAGACACGCACGAGACACGAGAACAACACGCGGAGACAGCATAAGAATGACAGAACAATTCAACGAAGACACCAAAATAAGCAGCAATGTCGACAAAAATCAAGAAAACATACCAAAAAGCGTTAAAACGGCCAAAGAAAGAAGATAAAGAATGGAAACACTGATTCCCACTATACTCTTACTACATACCAACCTTTTTCCAAATCCGTAATGAAAAATAGACTATTTTCTTTCACTACAGGATCTGCAAGTCGGGATAGATATTTATATTAATCTACCTGTTAATTTGAAAATGGAGAGAAAAGAATAAATTGCATGAACCCAAATCTTAAAGTAAACTCAACTTCTCATTTAAAAAAAACCCATCCGACCGTCTGTTTATTAGACATGTTTCTGCTATGTATTGTATTGAAGTGCTATGTTAACACTAAAAGTTTGAATTTGAACACTTTTCTTTATAATATTTCATTATTATCAATCGCTCCTCCGTCAGTCTTTTATTAAATAAAAAAAGTAAAGCTTTTTACAGTCTTGTCAAATGTTAATAATACGTCATTATTTTTATACCACGAAATAATACACAAGGTGGTATTAAGCCATAATTTTCTCTTCAAGTGCACTTCTCAGTCACGTTTTACGTGTTAAGTGGAGAGAAAGTGTCAAATGGCCTCACCAGCATAAGTATTTATAGGTCTATTCTCAAGGCATTCTACCTTCAGAAGGCATCAGTATGGAAGTGTGGATGCTGTCTCTTGTGATCAGTGGTAAGGAAAAACGCCAAATTATCACTATAGTTTAGTTTTATAATGTATGAAATTTATTACATTGATATTTTCTGTAAATGACGCTGTTAATGTCGTTATATACCTGCCACATATATTCTTGATTCGACAGTGACGGTAATTTTTTTTAAGCACTTGCATAAATTCGCCACAATTACTTTCTTAATTTCTTAGAAATAACAATTACAAAATTATGATAAGAGAAACTGTGAAAATAAGTTATTTTTCTGGCATTGAACAAACTTTGTAGAACTTGTTATCGTATGTGTTAATAACGGAACTATGTTTCCTTGCGGAGCGATTATTTTGGTGTGCGCCATTTAACGTAATTCAGCATAACGTCAACGCCAGTTAAACACAATTTCATCAACAAACTGTTAAAGGTTCTTATAGTCTTAATGTTCTCAATAAATGTTGCGGGGTATAAAGAATACACAGTCAGTGCCATAAACTACAAGCTGTATTATGGGTCGGGAGAGAAAGAAAAAAGCAGAGAAAGTGAATTGCAACCTGAATCTGTCTATCGACAGCCACTGAATAGTCAAAGGCAGCGTCGCCCATTAATTTCACACCGCGTCACCACTTCGTTTTCAATGTCCTGCCACGTATTTTTGGTATGTTTAGGAGTATATTGATAAATAACACTAACGACAAATAGGATGTAAAAATTCCTATTTTTATTTCGTTTATTTTCAATTTGTTGACAACTTTGTACCTGAAGGTATTCGTGGTGATTAATTCATCATATGGTATCATTTAGTGGTTCTTCGGAAGCCGAGACGGCTAATTAGTGCTCAGTACTTATTGAATCGACTGGTGTGTCCGTTGTATGCATACTTTTCAGAAATATTCAAGCCAGCTTCAGTTCTGTTATATCACAGGGAGCCTTTCACGAACATATCACAGACTGCCGAAACACACGCACATACATAACAAGGCAGCCTACATTTAATTACCCAAGCTGTTGATAGGACGTTAAACAATGCTATGAAAAAGAGTACAGAAAGGACAGTAAAGTGGATATACATTAACATGATGCTCTTAATGTGTATATGTGTTAATGAGGCTCCAAATTTAACATGACTTTTCTAACTGTAGGCTGCCTAGCGTTGCCAGGGATACCAACTCCCCATCATCCTGGACAAGAACTAATTGACCTCGCTATACAGGTAAGTCCATGTACTTAGCTATCTTTGTTTCATTGTTGCTTTACGTTTAGTAAGAGCCAGGGTCATTTATGAACGTGCCAGGTTTGGGTGGCGGAGGAAAACCGGAGTTCCCGGAGAAAAACCTCCGACCTGCGGCCAGTACCTGGCGACTGCACCATGTAGGTCTTGAACCTGTGATCCATAGGTAGTTATAAAGATGGTCAGACACTTTAACCTCTCGACCATGGCGATCCCAACTGTACTATGAACAATTACACGTACTGTGCGGTAGTTTGTTTGGATATTTTTGAAAATGACAATCTCAAAAAATGTTAAATCCCCAAAGCAGCATATCTAAATAAGAAAGATGGCAAGTTTTAATAAATGCTGATACATCTGTGGCCAATCCAATGGTAAAAACTGAACCAGTCTGACTATATAGTCAGAATATAAAAACTGCACCAGTCTGACTATCTAGTCAGAATATAAAAACTGCACCAGTCTGACTATCTAGTCAGAATAAAAAAACTGAACCAGTCTGACTATCTAGACAGAATATAAAAACTGAACCAGTCTGACTATCTAGACAATATAAAAACTGAACCAGTCTAACTATATAGTCAGAATATAAAAACTGAACCAGTCTGACTATATAGTCAGAATATAAAAACTGAACCAGTCTGACTATATAGTCAGAATATAAAAACTGAACCAGTCTGACTATCTAGTCAGAATATAAAAACTGAACCAGTCTGACTATCTAGTCAGAATAAAAAAACTGAACCAGTCTGACTATCTAGTCAGAATATAAAAACTGAACCAGTCTGACTATCTATTCAGAATAAAAAAACTGAACCAGTCTGACTATCTAGTCAGAATATAAAAACTGAACCAGTCTAACTATATAGTCAGAATATAAAAACTGAACCAGTCTAACTATATAGTCAGAATATAAAAACTGAACCAGTCTGACTATATAGTCAGAATATAAAAACTGAACCAGTCTGACTATCTAGTCAGAATATAAAAACTGAACCAGTCTGACTATCTAGTCAGAATAAAAAAACTGAACCAGTCTGACTATCTAGTCAGAATATAAAAACTGAACCAGTCTGACTATCTATTCAGAATAAAAAAACTGAACCAGTCTGACTATCTAGTCAGAATATAAAAACTGAACCAGTCTGACTATCTAGTCAGAATATAAAAACTGAACCAGTCTGACTATCTAGTCAGAATAAAAAAACTGAACCAGTCTGACTATCTAGTCAGAATATAAAAACTGAACCAATCTGACTATCTAGTCAGAATAAAAAAACTGAACCAGTCTGACTATCTAGTCAGAATATAAAAACTGAACCAGTCTGACTATCTAGACAGAATATAAAAACTGAACCAGTCTGACTATCTAGACAGAATATAAAAACTGAACCAGTCTGACTATCTAGACAGAATATAAAAACAATAAAGAAAGTATCGACAGGTCAACTGAATCTTGATCCAAACTAAATTAAATAAAGCCTGGGGAAATATGAACATAAGAAACACTTACATGGAGACAACGATAAGACCAGGATATCCGGAATAGCGAGCATCATCTGCTTCATCCACGACATCCGCCAGCAAGTGTCTTATTGTTACAAGTGAAATAGTAGGAATGTTGTGTTTTTTACATCCTATTTCTTCGAGTAACCTGCTATGTTCAAACAATACCTTTCCGAAGAGAATAATTATGGTAGATGATGACGTATTCCTGGGGACTCGCGTGCATGGGTTTGCTTGGCATTATATTACATACATTGAAGTGCTTTGCTGACAAATCGATTTGGTGTTGAAAATTCAATATGAATGCTTTAATTAGTTTACATGTACCTTAAATATTAAGAGTAAATTTGACATTTTCTTGGTCACACTATAGCGTATTTGAAATTCAAATACAATGTACGTACATTGTTGTTTGGATTCAGATCACCTAAAATTTTTATTGAAAAGAAAACATTTGCTTCAAGGGAAAAACGAAATAAAGGAGTACATATAAATTCTATTTGACATAAAGGAATACATATAGAAACAGGGTGTCATTAAGGAATCCACATAGAAACAGGGTGTCATTAAGGAATACACATAGAAAGAGGGTGTCATTAAGGAATACACATAGAAACAGGGTGCATTAAGGAATACACATAGAAACAGGGTGTCATTAAGGAATCCAAATAGAAACAGGGTGTCATTAAGGAATCCACATAGAAACAACATGTCATTAAGGAATACACATAGAAAGAGGGTGTCATTAAGGAATACACATAGAAACAGGGTGTCATTAAGGAATCCACATAGAAACAGGATGTCATTAAGGAATCCACATAGAAACAGGGTGCATTAAGGAATACACATAGAAACAGGGTGTCATTAAGGAATCCAAATAGAAACAGGATGTCATTAAGGAATACACATAGAAACAGGGTGTCATTAAGAAATACATATAGAAACAGGGTGTCATTAAGGAATACACATAGAAACAGGATGTCATTAAGGAATACACATAGAAACAGGATGTCATTAAGGAATACACATAGAAACAGGATGTCATTAAGGAATACACATAGAAACAGGGTGTCCTTAAGGAATACACATAGAAACAGGATGTCATTAAGGAATACATATAGAAACAGGATGTCATTAAGGAATCCACATAGAAACAAGATGTCATTAAGGAATACACATAGAAACAGGATGTCATTAAGGAATACACATAGAAACAGGATCTCATTTAGAAATCCATATAGAACAAGAAGTTATTTAGAAATCCACATAGAAACAGGATGTCATTAACGAATCACCATAGAAACAGGATGTTATTTAGAAATCACCATAGAAACAGGATGTCATTAACGAATCACCATAGAAACAGGATGTTATTTAGAAATCACCATAGAAACAGGATGTCATTAACGAATCACCATAGAAACAGGATGTTATTTAGAAATCACCATAGAAACAGGATGTCATTTAGAAATACCGCGAAAATAATAAATTACATCAGAACATCAGCTGTACCCACTTTGGATACAAGCTGAAGAAATCACCACTAAGGGATTTATTGCTTTTTGGTATTCCACGAAGAGCTCTTTGGTTTTTGTTCGTTGATAGTAGACATTGGTCACTATTTTCCTCCTCACTTCCAATGACACAATTATGAACCATTTTCTCCATTTCATATCATAAAGCAACTCTTTATCTCAACCAGCGTAAGACCAGCAGAGCGGCACTCGAATCATATGGTGCTCGATCATTGAGAGAATTTTAAATACCTTTCCGATCGTAGACAACAGTTTTAAACAAATCAGAATTAATACGTGTAGCTTAACCCACCGCCTCCCTCCCCCACCACAGAAACACACACACCTTCACACGCCCAAAGTAAAGTATAAATCACAAAAAATGTAGGCTTACGTTTAGTACATAAAGGAGGCTTATTTATGCATTGAATTCAAACATATCCACCTCACTCTATTTCTTGTGTTTGTTTTATCATCCGAAGACTAACTTGAAAGGACAAACGAGGATCATTGGAGGAACCGATGCATATATTAACGACTTCCCTTGGCAAGCTTCGCTGGAATTCAACGGCCAACATATCTGTGGTGCTATCATTCTGTCTACAGAATTTATTCTAACAGCAGCGCACTGCATGGGAAGTGACACATGGTTTGTTTTTACTACAACAAAGTCATGAGAAACGTATTAAAGGTTAAAGAGAAATTTGTATAAAAGAGTAGAGGTTATATGCTACCTTCCACTTTATACCTGTGATCTGTGTAAGAGTTAAGGCTATATGTTATCTTACACATTATACCTGTGATTTGTGTTAGAGTTAAGGATATATCCTACCTTACACATTATACCTGTGATTTGTGTTAGAGTTAAGGATATATCCTACCTTACACATTATACCTGTGATTTGTGTTAGAGTTAAGGATATATCCTACCTTACACATTATACCTGTGATTTGTGTTAGAGTTAAGGATATATCCTACCTTACACATTATACCTGTGATTTGTGTTAGAGTTAAGGTTATATGCTACCTTACACATTATACCTGTGATCTGTGTTAGAGTTAAGGTTATATGCTACCTTACACATTATACCTGTGATTTGTGTTAGAGTTAAGGATATATCCTACCTTACACATTATACCTGTGATTTGTGTTAGAGTTAAGGATATATCCTACCTTACACATTATACCTGTGGTTTGTGTTAGAGTTAAGGTTATATGCTACCTTACACATTATACCTGTGATCTGTGTTAGAGTTAAGGTTATATGCTACCTTACACATTATACCTGTGATTTGTGTTAGAGTTAAGGATATATCCTACCTTACACATTATACCTGTGGTTTGTGTTAGAGTTAAGGTTATATGCTACCTTACAAATTATACCTGTGATCTATGTTAGAGTTAAGGTTGTATGCTACCTTACATATTATACCTGTGATCTATGTTAGAGTTAAGGTTATATGCTACCTTACACATTATACCTGTGATCTATATTAGAGTTAAGGTTGTATGCTACCTTACATATTATACCTGTGATCTATGTTAGAGTTAAGGTTATATGCTACCTTACACATTATACCTGTGATCTATGTTAGAGTTAAGGTTGTATGCTACCTTACACATTATACCTGTGATCTATGTCAGAGTTAAGGTTATATGCTACCTCACAAATTATACTTGTGACTTGTGTTAGTTTAATAATAATGTATTCGTGTTAAACATGACTTGCTAAAATGTTTCTTCGGTAAGCGGTTTCAGTACTACGCTGTATACAATAAGGTGTTTTTGTTTGTATCTGTGCAGTTGTGCTTTGTCGCTTTCCTCTTTATATGTATTTTGTGCATTTTGTTTAAGTCTTATTTTGCACTACGCGATTTGGAATGTTATCATTAATCCATAACATGTTGTTATCACAGGAATTACAAGGTCCATGTCGGAAGTTCTTCCTTAAGCAGCACCGGGGGTTCTAGACATAGCGTGTCAGCAGCTGTCTTGGTAAGTACTGTCTTCAAAATATATACTAAACAAAAAAAGGAAGGTAACACTACTTTATTCTGTGATTAATTAATTAACCCCTTCATAAATTCTTACCAATCATATACGAATAAAGTAATTGATCAATTCTGATAAAACTGCAGTCATGGTTCATTATAAAACTTTGCGTTCAGTTGATTTTATTCGACTGTAAAGGCGTTGGGGTCAATTTCAAAGGTAACACAATTAGTAACGGGTATGGCCACCGTTTGCGAAGTAAACAGCCTCGTAAACCGGCGGATAATTCGAGGAGAGATGTTGTTCCATTCAGCGATCAAGGCTTGGGCCAGCTCCTGCAAGTTTGACGACTGATTTTGACGTTCTCTCACGCGTCGCCCAAGAACGTCCCAGACATGCTCAATCGGTGACAAATCAGGTGATTTAGATGGCCAATCTAACACCTGTACGTTATTCTGCTGCAAGAAAGTTCTGCTGACGCGACTGGTTTGCACTGGTGCGTTATCCTGTTGAAAAATTGCGCCAACGCCATGGCGTCTTAAGAATGGCAGAACCACTGGTCTCAAAATTTCGTCCCGATATCGAATGCCGGTTAAATTGACTTTTAACACAACAAGCCTGTACGAGTCCCCCCACAAATACCACCCCAAACCATTACACTTCCGCCGCCAAAGCGGTCCCGTTCTGCGACGCAGCACTTCGCAAAAAGCTCCCCTCGTCGCCACTACACTCTGCGCCTTCCGTCACCGTGTTGCAGACAAAACCTGGACTCATCTGAAAACAGAACATTGATCCATTGTCGTAAGGCCCAACGACGGTGAACACGGGTCCAATTACGCCGATTATTACGGTGACGTCGCAACAAATTGGATCCAGTGTATCTCTAATATGTTGAAAACGTTTAAGATGAGTCTACTCATTCTTACTACAGCACAAGTGCGTATTTTACAATTATGCAGATACTTAAGTCTTTACTTCTTTTAACGTATATTACAATATAATAAATATCCTTTCATACGACAGAGATTTTCACGTTGGTGCTACAGAACTTCAATTCCGGACGATTTCTATGCAGTGATATTATATAATATCATAACTGATTTTGTTAACGATTATTTCATAAATAGTAACATATATTACATTAAGAGAGATCCCCTTCAGAGATCTCAGGGGGATCTTGGCCTCCATTGTTTGATCTAAATTTTTAAAGTCGGATCTGACCTTTTTGTCTCTTCGGTCCTCTGTTTTTGCTCAAAGCTATATGAAAATTGAAAGTCCAACTTAAGGAGATAGCGATACTATTTTACTACCAATTCCAAGATGGTTGCCTATCAGTGATCCTTCTCATCAATTCCATAATTAAAAGTAAACAGCCATGAACCTAAGTGTGAACTTTGAGAAAGTCTGACCTCGTACTAGCGATTTTTTACTGTGACAATCCACGACATCCACTTATAGGCCACGTGGTGGGTTAATAGTGACATTCCACGACATCCACTTATAGGCCACGTGGTGGTTTATAGTGACATTCCACGACATCCACTTATAGGCCATGTGGTGGGTTTATAGTGACATTCCACGACATCCACTTATAGGCCATGTGGTGGGTTTATAGTGACATTCCACGACATCCACTTATAGGCCATGTGGTGGGTTTATAGTGACATTCCACGACATCCACTTATAGGCCATGTGGTGGGTTTATAGTGACATTCCACGACAGCCACTTATAGGCCATGTGGTGGGTTTATAGTGACATTCCACGACATCCACTTATAGGCCATGTGGTGGGTTTATAGTGACATTCCACGACATCCACTTATAGGCCATGTGGTGGGTTTATAGTGACATTCCACGACATCCACTAATAGGCCATGTGGTGGGTTTATAGTGACATTCCACGACATCCACTTATAGGCCATGTGGTGGGTTTATAGTGACATTCCACGACATCCACTTATAGGCCATGTGGTGGGTTTATAGTGACATTCCACGACATCCACTAATAGGCCATGTGGTGGGTTTATAGTGACATTCCACGACATCCACTTATAGGCCATGTGGTGGGTTTATAGTGACATTCCACGACAGCCACTTATAGGCCATGTGGTGGGTTTATAGTGACATTCCACGACAGCCACTTATAGGCCATGTGGTGGGTTTATTGTGACATTCCACGACAGCCACTTATAGACCATGTGGTGGGTTTATAGTGACATTCCACGACAGCCACTTATAGGCCATGTGGTGGGTTTATAGTGACATTCCACGACATCCACTAATAGGCCATGTGGTGGGTTTATAGTGACATTCCACGACATCCACTTATAGGCCATGTGGTGGGTTTATAGTGACATTCCACGACAGCCACTTATAGGCCATGTGGTGGGTTTATAGTGACATTCCACGACATCCACTTATAGGCCATGTGGTGGGTTTATAGTGACATTCCACGACAGCCACTTATAGGCCATGTGGTGGGTTTATAGTGACATTCCACGACAGCCACTTATAGGCCATGTGGTGGGTTTATAGTGACATTCCACGACAGCCACTTATAGGCCATGTGGTGGGTTTATAGTGACATTCCACGACAGCCACTTATAGGCCATGTGGTGGGTTTATAGTGACATTCCACGACAGCCACTTATAGGCCATGTGGTGGGTTTATAGTGACACTCCACGGGTCACTAATAGGCCATGTGGTGGGTTTATAGTGACATTCCACGACATCCACTTATAGGCCATGAGGTGGTTTATAGTGACATTCCACGACAGCCACTTATAGGCCATGTGGTAGGTTTATAGTGACATTCCACGACATCCACTTATAGGCCATGTGGTGGGTTTATAGTGACATTCCACGACAGCCAATTATAGGCCATGTGGTGGGTTTATAGTGACATTCCACGACAGCCACTTATAGGCCATGTGTTGGGTTTAAAGTGACATTCCACGACATCCACTTATAGGCCATGTGGTGGGTTTATTGTGACAATCCACGACAGCCACTTATAGACCATGTGGTGGGTTTATTGTGACACTCCACGACATCCACTTATAGGCCATGTGGTGGGTTTATAGTGACATTCCACGACATCCACTTATAGGCCATGTGGTGGGTTTATAGTGACATTCCACGACATCCACTTATAGGCCATGTGGTGGGTTTATAGTGACATTCCACGACATCCACTTATAGGCCATGTGGTGGGTTTATAGTGACATTCCACGACAGCCACTTATAGGCCATGTGGTGGGTTTATAGTGACATTCCACGACATCCACTTATAGGCCATGTGGTGGGTTTATAGTGACATTCCACGACAGCCACTTATAGGCCATGTGTTGGGTTTATAGTGACATTCCACGAGTCACTTATAGGCCATGTGGTGGGTTTATAGTGACATTCCACGAGGGTGGTGGGTTTTTGACAATTTCTGATATGGAAATAGCACAATCAGAGATCAAGTGAAAGCTACGTATGAAATTTTACAAGATGGGGATAGAACAATTCGTGTGATATCAAAACGGAATTATACTTTGAAGTAATACTGAATTCCTTGAAAGGGACAATATTTATAAATTCTGTTTCACTAATGCCGTTTGATAATGACTCAAAATTGCCAGAGTTTTGTGACGTCACAGCGTTTTGATTATCAATATGCTTGTGCGATTCTTCTTAATTTGTTAACGACATTTTATAAAATGCTGCGTAGCGATTTTTGTGGTGTCATCATTATTTGTGTGGTGTTTTTCATTTTACTAATGACATTTTATGAGCTGTGGAGATGAACCAAAATGTTATGTGTTTTGTGATGTCATCATCCTCTGTATAGCTTTAAGGGTAATATATTGTACCGCTTGTAACACAAACTTTGTACCCCGCAGCATGAACACTTTGTGAATAGTGGTAGCACTACCAATGGCGCCTTCCCTAATGATGTGGCTCTCATTAAGTTATCTGAACCAATCGATTTCACCAGTAACAAACAACCAATCGATTTGACATCCTTAACTAACAACAACCTGGCTTCAAACGATGACTGTTGGATTACTGGATGGGGAAGAACGAGTGGGAATAGTAACAGTAAGTTTTACTTAATATGAAAATGCTGTAAGTTTTCTGTTTGATGTTTTTGTTTTTCAGAAATACCTGTACATTTTTGTACGCTATATGAAAAAGTCTTTTAAGAGAAATGTGCTCCTGTAAGTATCTTTATTCGTTCCTCAAACAGTTGCATGACGCTGTTACAATGATCATTTGACTCGGTACAATTGTTAGGAATAAATCTTCCTACAATTGACAGGAATAAATCTTCCTACAATTGTTAGGAACAATTCTTCCTACAATTGACAGGAATAAATCTTCCTACAATTGACAGGAATAAATCTTCCTACAATTGACAGGAATAAATCTTCCTACAATTGACAGGAATAAATCTTCCTACAATTGCCAGGAATAAATCTTCCTACAATTGACAGGTACAATTCTTCCTACAATTGACAGGAATAAATCTTCCTACAATTGACAGGAATAAATCTTCCTACAATTGACAGGAATAAATCTTCCTACAATTGACAGGAATAAATCTTCCTACAATTGACAGGAATAAATCTTCCTACAATTGACAGGAATAAATCTTCCTACAATTGACAGGAATAAATCAATTGACAGGAATAAATCCTACAATTGACAGGAATAAATCTTCCTACAATTGACAGGAATAAATCTTCCTACAATTGACAGGAATAAATCTTCCTACAATTGACAGGAATAAATCTTCCTACAATTGACAGGAATAAATCTTCCTACAATTGACAGGAATAAATCTTCCTACAATTGACAGGAATAAATACAAATCTTCCTACAATTGACAGGAATAAATCTTCCTACAATTGACAGGAATAAATCTTCCTACAATTGACAGGAATAAATCTTCCTACAATTGTTAGGAATAAATCTTCCTACAATTGACAGGAATAAATCTTCCTACAATTGACAGGAATAAATCTTCCTACAATTGACAGGAATAAATCTTCCTACAATTGACAGGAATAAATCTTCCTACAATTGACAGGAATAAATCTTCCTACAATTGACAGGAATAAATCTTCCTACAATTGCCAGGAATAAATCTTACTACAATTGCCAGGAATAAATCTTCCTACAATTGACAGGAATAAATCTTCCTACAATTGCCAGGAATAAATCTTCCTACAATTGCCAGGAATAAATCTTCCTACAATTGACAGGAATAAATCTTCCTACAATTGACAGGAATAAATCTTCCTACAATTGACAGGAATAAATCTTCCTACAATTGACAGGAATAAATCTTCCTACAATTGACAGGAATAAATCTTCCTACAATTGACAGGAATAAATCTTCCTACAATTGCCAGGAACAATTCTTCCTACAATTGACAGGAATAAATCTTCCTACAATTGTTAGGAACAATTCTTCCTACAATTGACAGGAATAAATCTTCCTACAATTGACAGGAATAAATCTTCCTACAATTGACAGGAATAAATCTTCCTACAATTGACAGGAATAAATCTTCCTACAATTGACAGGAATAAATCTTCCTACAATTGACAGGAATAAATCTTCCTACAATTGACAGGAATTAATCTTCCTACAATTGACAGGAATTAATCTTCCTACAATTGACAGGAATAAATCTTCCTACAATTGACAGGAATAAATCTTCCTACAATTGACAGGAATAAATCTTCCTACAATTGACAGGAATAAATCTTCCTACAATTGACAGGAATAAATCTTCCTACAATTGACAGGAATAAATCTTCCTACAATTGACAGGAATAAATCTTCCTACAATTGTTAGGAATAAATCTTCCTACAATTGACAGGAATAAATCTTCCTACAATTGACAGGAATAAATCTTCCTACAGGAATAAATCTTCCTACAATTGACAGGAATAAATCTTCCTACAATTGCCAGGTACAATTCTTACTACAATTGTTAGGAATAAATCTTCCTACAATTGACAGGAATAAATCTTCCTACAATTGCCAGGAATAAATCTTCCTACAATTGACAGGAATAAATCTTCCTACAATTGACAGGAATAAATCTTCCTACAATTGACAGGAATAAATCTTCCTACAATTGACAGGAATAAATCTTCCTACAATTGCCAGGAATAAATCTTCCTACAATT